CAGGACAACATCGGTCGCCATTAGTGCCTCATGCCATTTGTGCCAGGGGTGGGAGATGTTGTGGCCAGCCAGATATTCTGAGAAGGTACAGATGCCGATGTAACTGCCCTTCCATTCGTCAGTTGCTGAACTTCAGCGACCGCCGACCAGTTAGAATGACCCCTTTGCCCCGTCCAGATCCTGACGAAGCTGGCCGCCGGCCTGCCGGCCTCGGAGAGGGCGCTGGCCATGGCACAGCTGCAACATGCCAGCCGCCACCGCCCTGCGTCCGCCGGCCCTCTCTGGTGAACGAGGCAAAAGCCGTACCGATGATCGAGGTAGGTGGTGACGCCTCGGCAGGCTGACGCTCCTCCAACGGAGCACTCGGCAGGCTGACGCTGTTCCAGCGGAGCGCTCGGCAGGCTGACAATCTTCCAGTGGAGCACTGGGCAGGTTGGCGCTCCTCCAGCAGGGCGCTCGGTAGGCTGACACTCCTCCAACGGAGTGCTGGTCAGGCTGACGCTTTTCCAGCGGAGCGCTCGGCAGGCTGAGGCTCATCCAGCGGAGCTCTAGGCAGACTGACACTCCTCCAGCGGGGTGCTCTGAAGGCTGACAATCCTGCAGCAGAGCGCTCGTTTGCGTGAACGTTTATATGCTAAAACGATTTGACCGTGGCAGGTATTTTCGTACATCCTGTTTGAATACTGATAATGGAAGTTGAGTCAGCGGTATTGTTTCTCAAATGACAGATATGTAATTTAACACCTGCTTAAATCTTGTGTCCGGCATAGTCGTAGAAACAGTTTAATTTTGAAGATAAAAACTGAAATTCATCGAAATATTTAAAACAAGCGCTCAAAGCCAAGCGCTACGCTGTTAATGAACAAGAAATGCTCGGAGTTCCACAAAACCAAGGGCGTTACCAAAGTGAAACTTTAAGTGTTAACTTGGTATCAATATGCGCCCGAGTGGCGTTAACTGGAGTAATAGATGTCACGCCGCCCGCTGCCGCTGGTGGACGTGACGCCGCCCGCTGCCGCCGGTAAGTGTCGCGCCGCCCGCTGCCGCTGGTGGACGTGACGCCGCTCGCCGCCGCTGGTAAGTGTCGCGCCGCCCGCTGCCGCTGGTGGACGTGACGCCGCTCGCCGCCGCTGGTAAGTGTTACGCGCCGCTGCCGCTGGTGGACGTGACGCCGCTCGCCGCCGCTGGTAAGTGTCGCGCCGCCCGCTGCCGCTGGTGGACGTGACGCCGCTCGCCGCCGCTGGTAAGTGTCGCGCCGCCCGCTGCCGCTGGTGGACGTGACGCCGCTCGCCGCCGCTGGTAAGTGTTACGCCGCCCGCTGCCGCTGGTGGACGTGACGCCGCTCGCCGCCGCTGGTAAGTGTCGCGCCGCCCGCTGCCGCTGGTGGACGTGACGCCGCCCGCTGCCGCTGGTAAGCGTTACGCCGCCCGCTGTCGCTGGTGGGTGTGACGCCGCCCGCTGCCGCTGGTAGTGTTACGCCGCCCGCTGTCGCTGGTGGACGTGACGCCGCCCGCTGCGCTGGTAAGTGTCGCGCCGCCCCTGCCGCTGGTGGACGTGACGCCGCCGCTGCGCTGGTGGACGTCGTGTTGGTTTAGCACCTCGTCCCTGACCGCTGCCCCATGTCTCCGGCCACACAGGACCGAGCCTCCAAGCCCCGGACGCGTCGTCTCAACGGAGTGACGTCGTCGGAAGGCAAGGTCCGAGCGCAGAGAGCGGTCGGGACGGACGACGACAGGAGCCAGACCGGCATGATCTTCGGCCCAGAGGAGGACACAGTCCAGACCCGTCTGGAGTTTGGGCAGGAGGACGTGCCGGGAGGAGTGGCCAATGGCCGGCTCAATCCGGCGTTTGCTGAGGACGAGCCGGACCGCGCCAACAGCTGGACCAAAAACGTCCTCTTCGCAGCCGGATCGTCGAAGGACGCAGAGAGCTCGCAGTTTTCTCTACGAGGCTTTGAGGAGTTCTTGGAGTGTGCTTCCATGAGGCCCGTTTGTCCGCTTCGATAACATGCATTTTTGTTTAACGACTAGCAAGTTGTGCGCGCTCGTAGGCTAGACTCAGTTTTTTTGCGACCGCTCCCCGTTTGCAAAATTCCGCTTACGCCCCTAGCTAGCTATGCCCACTTTCCCTTGCAGAGCAGCTTTGATGCCATATACCCTTGTGCACGTTATTGGTGACTGTCGCGTTCGATGTATTTATATAGGCATCACAAATACCCTCCATGTTTACTTATTGGGTATGCAGCTATGTAGTTCACGGGTCCTTTCATGATGTGAATTCAATGTTGCTTTGGCACTGACAATTTTTTCAGATGTCCTAACTAATGCCAGGGCTAACTCGATCTCCGATTCGGTATACGAATAATGTGGCGAAATGGTTGTATTCGTCAAAAGAATACAACCACTTACATGGAATTGAAACGCTTTCACTGCATTCCAGATCAACATCCAGAAAGTTGGACATGACGAATACTGTGTATCCAGTGTACTAAATATTACATGTCGGACAGAGGACGAACTTACAGTTTTGTAGATTACGTGTGTCGTCCCATATGCGTCCCTGGTAAAGCACTTTCGGTTTCCATCAGGTTTCCATGGTATTCAGGGTAGGACCGGTCAGGAAATTCTATGATTGTTTTAAAAATTCATTCAGAATAATGCAAACCCAACCTCGCCCCATAGAGTGCGACAGGTTTCTCCAGTCGGCTTCGAGGACACCACCTCAGCGATGTGAAGCAAGCCAGTAAACACTTGTAGATAGCGAACAGGATTATTGTAAAACCAAATCTTCCTCGCCGATTGGCTAATGGTGTACACGTTTTTACACTTTTTTTGCTCATTCCCTCATACTAGTCCTTACTAAGTGGGAAGGAATATCTGTGAGTATACGAAGCTGTCCTTCATAATGCAAAAACCTTGAGACAAACATGACTGTCGCTGAGTTCCTAATAAATTAAAAAATGTGTAACTCACATATGTGGTGTCTTGCACAGCTTGCATTTGCATACCGATCGCACCGCATACAAATATGTTTGTTTTTTATTCAGCTCGCAATCTGCGATGTGTTTTATCGCAAAGGGAGAAGAAGCTTTTTTCCTTCGTGCTCAGCTTGATTGCTTCGCATGAAGCATCCTTCTCAATAACCATTGGTTGAAGTCCGTCGCTGCGCGGGTGTAGGATCTTTTTTGTACTATCTGGCGCAAGGAACTAGTCAGAGTTGCCGCGCTTATCTCTGATACTTTTCGGTTCTGGGCGAGCTTAGATGGTAACGTGTTTTATTTCGGACGCCTGCGTCCAGCGCTCCTATGCTATGTGCTGTTCTATGTTAGGGTGACGTGCTCCAGGCACAAGTATTCGCTGTAGGTTCTCGCGTCCACCTGATCGGCCTGACAGGTGCACTTCAAGCCCCAGAACCTCGACCGACTGCCCCCCACCACACAGGCCGGCCGACAAGGTGACTTACATGCGCTCCGTGGTTAAGTGGTGCGTACGGTTTACTCAGAACAGCTCAAGGGGTGGCAAAATATGGGAAGCACGAGGAGCAGGGCCTCTAAGTCGTGTAGTTTAATGTCAGGCCGATACCAGCCATTATGAACTACATTAGCTGAATGGAGATCTACAGCGATGGCTCAGCTGAACTCGCTTGGGGAGTAAAAATGTTTGTTTTATGTTATGAAGTTGTCTTTTATATGTAAGATATGTGTAAGATTGACTTAGGTCGATAGATACTTATTTCAACTGCACGGTACTCAATAAGACAAAAAATCGAGGCACACATCATGTGAGAGGTAAAATTATTCCACAAATGAATGAGGTAGCAACTGGACAAAACATTTACAGTAAATCGCATGCCTTTTAAGCCACATCGTGAACAGTACAGTGCGTTTTAACAGCACAATCGGCGATGAGTTTCTGCTTGTTTTCTACAGTCAGAGATGAGTATTTGCTTGATCCCTGGTTCAGGGTAGCAGCATCAGTGCGAATTTTAATCGCTACCACCGTGGAATCCAGCGATGAGCGAATAACTACAGAGTCGTCAACAGCATAGTGCCGCCGTTGGCCAAATTATGTGATTTGAAATGGATGACACCTCCTGTTACAGTGTCTAACTTCGCGCTATGGTTGGCTGGTATGAGGGGCCTCGACATAACCCATATGATAAGGCATAGGCTTCATCAATCAGCACAAGAAAGTCAAACGTGGTTTGCATGTCAAACCTGCTGTTATTTTCGGGCAGGCTTTCGTATGCATAGCTTTACTTGTATATGCGCAACTCTATTTGAAGCGTCGTTCAGCGGTTAGGAGACTAATGAGGGATTGCCGCATAGCAATGCTTAAAAGTTTTTTATGGAACGGAGACAGGTCTAGTGAAAAAACATTGCCAAAAGAAGTCATTTTCCTGAGCCCTGCTGAATCTCATGAGGCGTTAATCCCGTAGCATGTGCTGTGCTCTTTAGACAGGCCAACTTTGCTTCATTTGTGGCACATTTTGCAAGTGAGAATACATGCATCATACATACATACATATATATATATATATATATATATATATATATATATATATATATATATGTATGTATATATAACTACACTGGGTCATGTACTAGTTCTGTTTTACAAGCACGCCAGAACAATGATAAACACACGACTGGTTCACGGTGGTTTCGTCCTTCCCCTCGGGTTGGCTTGTCTTCCGTGAACCGTGATATAAAATAAGTGATATAATGACGTCATAGCATACACGGACGGATGAGGACAACCTTCTGAGGATATCTGGCACACCCAAAACCAAAGGGGGGGGGGGGGGTGCAGCGCGCAGACGAACCGCCTGGTGTAGTTATCTTTATTATGAGTTCAAAAAGTTCTTATGCTGAGGTAGTGACCTTCAGTATACTGAGAGGTATTGAAACGAATGCGCAGTGCTAGATGACAATAATATTGACGGTACTCACTATTCAGAGCTGCACTCATCTTCTAGAGTGGCAAGGTTTCAGAAGCGTTCAGAAAAAATACCGCAGGTGCTCTTAAGCATGAGCAACCCTCCTCCCCGCTGAGCTCTCCCTCCTGGTGGACGCTCCTCCCCGCTGGGCTCTCCCTCCAGATGGACCCTTCTCCCTGCTGGGCTCTACCTCTCGGTGGACCCTCCTCCCCGCTGGGCTTCTCCTTCCGAAGATTTGATGCGGAACTTTGACACTGCGGAACAAATGGAGATTGCCAGCCATAGGCCCAAATGGTATGCAATAAGATCCACCCGAAAAAAGCAGCATACAAAGCATCCCGATGGACCCTCCTCGTTTACGTCATCCCTTAATCCCGCCGGGGTCAGCCCTGAGCCCCGGGGGTAATGTATATGATACAAAGTGTGTATGTATGTGTGAATTCATTTGTTATGTTATTTTATGTCGATCTATCGCACGGCTATATACGTGCATAAGTGAGTACCTGAATAGAATAGGCACTTGTGTCAGGCATGGACACTTACACAGTGTCTTAAACGTTAGGTGAAAACACAAAGCTACCCGAAGCATGAGTGCTGTGCAATGATGTTTCGGGAAAAGACAGTCCTTAATTTGTTGAGAATTGCAATCATGTCAGGTGCTACTGTTTGCTTGCTTCCATCTTTGCCCTCTCCTCGCTTGACCTGAAGCTGAGCTCGCCTCCGAAGACCAGCCCACGCGACAAGTGATCTGTTCGTGGTCCGGAGCCGAACGGCAACGACGATTGTGAAACCTGTCCCGCCCGACCAATAAAAACATCTTTATCCACACCCATACTGCACGTGCTTGGCGACAGCTGGTTGGCGTAAGGGGAAAATGGCAGCGATGAGTCTGCTGATCGGCCAAGGGCACCGATCGCCGTAACCGTGTAAGGCAGATTGCAGTGAAGCCGACCTCATATAAACCCGAGGGAAATATTGCAATGATAAAGGTGTGTATACAATCGGGCACATATATAGATGGAGTGAACATGTAGTATGGGATACACATGCGGTTTTGCAAAAGCAAAGTTCGTATCATCGTTTTGCAAGTCCTCAATGGAGGAGGCAGTGTGAGGCAATAGCAGTGAGGCAGTTTGAATGTAAAGGAGACGGGGACATCGTTTTGCTCAGGTCAAGGGGCAGCAGAGAGCGCAGTGGGCGGCGCCATATGCATGCTCATATGCATGCCACCACATGCATGCTCTTGAAACATGATGGGCGAAAGAGCAGGCGTTAGGCTCAGTCCCCGTTGGGTCTACCAGCGGACCGTATGAAGCAACACCGCGACAAATGCCGGAGTTTCATGATAATGTCGGCATTTAAACGTGACACGCCACGAGAGTGGGAGCCATTGGGGTGTGCCTGTTGACTTCAAGGAATCGTGCGGTTACAAGACTGGGCGGGGGAGAGGGGGAGAGACGCCATGGACCAGTGCACACATATTTCGGTCCACAGAGGCACCAGATGTATTACATGCAGAAATAACACTTTGTGGAACAAATGAGGGATTTCTAGCCTTAGACACAAAATGATAGCAATGAGATCCCCACGGAAAAGTAGCATACAGGGGCTCACACATAGAGGCAAATGACGAATTACGAAAAATCGCTAATTACGCATTGTAGCGGTGAGGCGTGCAGTGTTACCCCGGCCTGAGTGCATTCTTAACCTACGCCCGGCCAGGGGGTCTGAGACAACCGTGCGCGGGCCAGAGGATAAGATGACTTTCCCTGGAATCTGCAACTTCCAGACGTCGCACACGACAAACAAAGATACCGTTGTACAGGTCTCGTCAGATCATGAAAAGCGTGTGCTTAAATTTTTTATCTTTGGTAAATTTGAAGTCACCAAAGATCAGGGAAACCAAATTGTGACAGATTAACAGGTTTCGTCCAGACCCTGGCAAAGACTACAGTAGGGCACAACCAGCCAGCGCTGCGGGCCAGCCAGCGCCTGCTCAAACTGCGGCCGACTGTCAGTCAGCGGCGGCGCGGCGGGCCGACCGGCCAGCCAGCGCCTGCTCAGCAGC